CGGCAACTGTGTTCGCTGAGCTAGTAGTGCAAAACTATCGATAGTACTATCGATAGTATCGATGGTCGCCAAAAATCAGACTACCGATAGTAATAAAACTATCGATAATGTCGCAGAACTATTGATAGTCGACTATCGAAAATCTGTCGATAGTACTATCAATAGTGACTATAGAAAAACTATCGATAATGCTATCGATAGTCGACTATCAAAAAAAATATCGAAAAACTATTGAAAAACCATTGACAGTCGACTATCGAAAAACTATCGATAGTCGACTCTCGAAAAACTATCGATAGGACTATCGATAGTTGACAATCGATAGTTCTGCGACACTATCGATAGTATCGATAGTCGATTTATCGATAGTTTTGCATCACTAGCATGCGCTCTAAAAAAAAATTTGCGGCATTCTCTCGGACACTCCCTCCGCTACGTCATATCGCAAAAAATGTTTGTGTTCGACTACTTTAGCGACCATGTATCTTTAAAGCGAGCCCCGCTTGGGGCTTAAATATTTCAAAAATAAATAATGTGCAACGGGTGCTTCTATGGCAGTTTTACCTTTACTCCCTAGCTCTAATAGACCCTTTCCGAAACCCCATCAAGCAACATTGGCGGTCGCCATTTCTTGGGCAAGTGTGATTGGATCCGAGTCCTCGCGGAACGCTGACGCAACGCGCGAGTCCAATACATGCTCAGAGCACGTGATGAAACAATGGCGGACTCGGACAATTGGGGCAACGGCTACTAGATGGCGTGTACTTTTGAAAAGAGGCTATTACAGCAAGTCACCTCACAGAGGTAAAAAAAACAAACAATTTTTGCAGAAATCTTTTTGCGTTATAGAGAGCAATTCTAAATTTAAAGTCACTCTTTTTTCCCCCTTTAAGTATAAGGGAATTATGCGTCCGGATCACAAACATTCTCTTTTTTATGCAAAGGATTGTTGTCTCCCACGAAGCTTCTGTGAGCGGAAAATCCGCTTCCGTCAGATTTCTGAAATAAATGAGACTCAAACGGAAGCTTTGCCAGCTAAGTTAGCGAGAAAACGTTTCTGCCAAATTTGGCGGGATAACCACTCCGACAATAATGTCACGTCTGTAGCTGACGCTACATATTTCTTTTAAACCCCCCCCCCCCCCCCAAACCCCTTTTTCAAAAGAAAAAAAAAAGATGTTTCACTGAAGCAATTAATAATCATCGTTTATGAAACCGTGGGAACGAGGCTGCCAATGTGATTTCATAACACACATAAATACAGTCAAGAAATATATAAACTCCCATCGCGCCCTCCCCCTCCAAGTCTTATACATAAATCTGACCCTGTACACATCCACGAATTGTGCAACGATAACCAAAATATAAAAGGAATCAAAATATTTTATTTTATTTTAATAAGTGATGGAGACGCACTTGTCAAGAAGTTGCCACAAAGATGTGCGATTAATGACTGTTAAAGAGAGTCAGGTCCGCTTAGACGCTCCCACATCCAGTGCATCCAAAAGATCTGACCTAGAAGTCTCACACCTCGGCGCGGTGAAATTCAACTCCCGCTTCGCGAACCATTGCGTAGAACGACGACGTCGCATCAGTCAGCAGTTCTGTCAGTCTGCCGACTAACGACACTTGCTTGGTCCATCACAACGACGCGGTTCGACGACAGAACCGTATGAAGACGATGAGCTATGGTCAGGACCAGTGCACCCATGCACTCATCGTATAACTCAGTGTCTGCTGAACCAACAAGTCGGTGTTCATATCCACCGATGCCGCGGCTTCGTCAAGCACGAGTATCTTCGTACTCCTCAAAACAGCCCTCGCGAGACACACCAGTTGTCTCTGTCCCACGCTGAGGTTGAGTCCGTTTTCTTCAACTTCAAAGTCCAGACCACGATTTTGTATAAGGAATACGCCAAGATGAGATTCCTTCAATGCCCACCGGAGCTCGCTAGTGTCGTGATTGCCGGTCGGGTTGAGGTTGAACTACAGAGTGCCGTGAAACAAGACCGGATCTTGTGGTATTATGGTCAACCGAGAACGGAGGTCCCGTAACCCTATGGCTGCAATGTGCACATCATCTACTACAACACTTCCGGCCGCTGCTTCGATAATGCGGAAAGGGCTTAGTGCTATGGTCGATTGTACGGCACCAGTTCGTCCCACGATCCCCAACTTCTCACCAGGGCGTATGTCGAGGTTGACTTTTTGGAGTACGAACTCCAAGCCATCTCGGTACCGCGTGGAGAAAGACTTGAAAGGCACCGAACCTGAGCGGGGCCAGTGCGGGTCCAGTCCTAACTTGGACTTCCGCGGCCCTTCGGGTGTCAGATTCCTGTACTCATCTAAACGTTCGGCTGATATCAAAGTTGCTTCTAGTCCGCTCGAATGAAAAATAAAGTGGATAAACACGGATACAGCATTCATCGTGTAAGACACTAGAAGACCTGCTGTTCCCACATTTATTGTGTCGCGGCGGGCAACGAGGAGCAACGACATCAAAAACGGAAGCGTTTCATTGGCTACCCCCATCCAGACTTCAATCCAGCATTCACAAAGATGGCCGTACACAGTACAGGTGTGCAAGTTGCCAATATGTTTGTCGTTCTCTCGCACGAAAATACCCTGAACGCTGAAGCTTCGGAGGCTGCTCAAGCCTGCAAGTGTTTCGGAAAAGTGGTTGTTAACTAGAGAACGTGCGACGGTCTCCAGCCTTTTCACGTGACGATACTGGACCACATACCCTTGACGTAAAACTAGCAGGCACACTGCAACAGGAACAACAACTAGGATGTAGGGCGCAAAGTATGTGCATATGAGGACAACAGACGAGGCAAACAGTGAAAAACAATGAAGAGTAATGTGAGCTGACGATGGAAGTTGGACATCAAGCTCATCAACGTCCTTGCCGAAGCGGTTCAATAGGCGACCAGAGGGGGTGACATCAAAAAATGAAAGAGGCGCCCTTATCACACCCTTGAGCATCAACAGGTTAATTCTTGTGGAGGAAGAAAGCGCTACCTTCCACGGCTAGGCGACAGCGATAAAATTAAAGAAGGCCTGGAAAATTACGAGGAGGACGGATACCTCAGTCTTGTAGGCGTGAAGATATAGGTCCTGAGTTCCGGTAGACGATATTGAATTATTGGTCCATTTGCTTAGCCATAAACCAACGAACACACCGATTGCAGTGCAGGCAGCGTAACACAAAATCACCAACAGCAGAAAGGACCCAGCGTGTCGTATGTAAGTTCTCAATACTCGGAGGATGACTGAACCTTCCTCTGCTGCCTCCTCCTCCACAAGAGTGGTCTTTAATTCCCCCATCAATGTCTGCTTCAACGTCTACATTTGTAGCCATGTTCTCAATAACTGCAAATTTTGGAGCTTTCTGTCTAACGCTTTTTAGCAGTCCCGAAATAACACTTTCTTCATGTCTGAGGTCTTCAAAGGTAGCAGTCTCAAGAACCGACCCTTCCTGCATGACAACAATGTAGTCTACTTCACTGAACACCGAATGGTTATGAGTGACCAAAATTCGTGTGGTTTCTCTGAGCATTCCTCGAGGCCCGATAACGTCCTTGAAAGGGGAGGCTCCGATATGAGCGTCTACTGCGCAGAGCGGATCGTCAAATAGATGAAGTTCTTTCTTCTGGTAAGCTGCTCTTGCAAGACCGATCCTCTGTTTTTGACCGCCGATAAGGCTGATTCCTTTTTCGCCGATCTCCGCCATGTCTCCACCAGGAAGGATCGTCAAGTCTCTCTCGAGGCAACACGCCTTCAGAACCATCTCGTGCAGTTGGGCGTCGTACTTAGCCGTAAAGAGCACGTTTTCTCGTATGGTCTTGTTCCGGATCCACGCACATTGAGGGGTGTACGCTACATTTTCTATGCAATCCACGGATCCCGAGCTAATCCTAAGGTTTCCCAGCAATGCAGACAGCAAAGACGACTTGCCGGAGGCTATGGGTCCAACGACTGCGACCAATTGACCGGTCTTGACTGTGAGGTTAATGCTGCTCAACGCCGGGGTTCTGTCTATCGACCAGAAAAACGTTGCATTTTTCACAGAGACCGCGTTGTCTTTATCAAGCCGTCGACCAACTGAACAGTCCTCTACTTCAGAAGACAGTAAAAATCTCCGAATTCTCAACATTGAAACGCTCGTTTGAACCGCGTTCGATATAAAATCTGGAATTAGAAACTTGGGGACCTGCATATAATTAAACAGAGTAAATGACACAAACGCAGTCCTTGGATCAAGGATGTGATCATCGCTGATCCACAGGTACGTAATAAAGCTCGCTAGAGAAACCATGAATGACGAACAAGTAAAGAGAAAAAAAGCAAGCGCAGCAAGATACGAATATTTCTTGAGCAGACCCATCCTCCTTAGTAGCAAGGATGTGCACTTGCTAGTAGAGACACCTTCTTAGGCAAAAAGCTTGAGAACTTTCACGCTGCTCAACATCTCTGCCACATTTTTTAGACGTTTGTCTTTCAATCGCATCTGACGTATGTGGTATTTTTTCCCGACGCAGAACGCTAGTACCGTCAGAGTGATTATAATGAGCGTGACAGCAACCCCGGCGAGACAGGCCCCTCCAAGGAAGTGCCACAGAAGAATCACTGCAATCACAATCAGCGGCACCCCACTGGCCATGTGACCAAAACTGAAACAAAGATTGGTGATTCGATCAGCGTCGACCGAAATCAAGTTGATTAGCTTCCCTCATGTGTGGTCCCTCTGTGACTCGCTGCAAAGCCGAAGTACCTTCCTATAAATGGCTGCCACCAAGACAGTTTTTGCATTTAGCCCCGCAAAGATGAGTGTCCTCTTCGCGCGGACAGCAAGCAGGCCCGACCCAAAGTTGAGGCTTATCATACCGACGACGTACAATACCCCTTTCCACGTGGAGTCGTTCCCGATCATGTAAGCCATCAGAAGATAGAACAGAAAAGCGGGGATTATCTTCGTTATGGCTCGTAATGTAGCTAAGATGCACGAAATTACAACAGTCTTCCAGTACGTTTTCCACAGTAACCAGGACATTGAAGGTAACGGCGTAGAGACGCTACATGATCCGTCTCCTGGTACGTACCCAGCCTAATCCAGTTCCTTCATCCAAAGCGAGTTCCACCCACTGTGGTTTCGCCCGATCATCATGTCTGCTGGCATGTTGTAAATACCTTCAAGCTGGGCACAGTGCTGGGACCTCTGAAGTATGAGATTTGACAACCATCCAAACAGAAGGAAGGACACCGGTGGGGCGGTAAGGTAGGGTCTTTTTACGTCATGAATGGCGTCAGCCAAGCAGGGTAGCAACAACTTCAGGAGTACAACAGGATAAGTTGTAGAAATCACAAAGAACCTCCAAACATTGGGAAAATAACTTTTTGAGACAAAGACATCCCGCATGCGGCGCGAAAACTCGGGAAACATGCAGACAGCGGTCACCGACCAAAAAGGAAACAGCAACATTGAAGATCCAATTCCCCTCTTTCGATACTTCTCCTGAGTGTTCATGGCAATGGCGAAACTGATGCATTGCACGAGATCCACTATCACCGGTGACGAGGACGATGTCTCAACGGTCAGGTTTTGCAAAAGCGCCAAGGCGTACACACTAAAAATTTCAACACCCATGTTCGTGTTAAAAGGGTGTTTTTCCGAGCTCACACCCTTCCTACACCATTTTTACGTGATTTTTGAATATTCAAGAGTGTACGGAAAGGCCTACACCCTTCGTACATCCTTTTTACACCCTACGGCTACCGAAATCGTGTTAAGAGGGTGTTGCGGTGGTACACCCATGATTTCCGAATCGTCGAACTCGGAAACCGCCGAATTGCAGACATACGCGCCGACAGCGGAAGTCAAGAAGCAGCCTGCTCAATTTAGAGGATTTCGTGAAGTTCAAGTAAGCACAATGGGCAGCTGACATCCAAGCCAAGCCAACGCTCAAGTTGTTTTCAAGCCAGATGAATGCCGGCGTTGTGTACAAGCTCCTTGGTTGTTTATGTGCAAGCGACCACGAAAATAGCATCGGTTACTCACGCACTTCTGCTCAGAATGGTGAGACCACATCGGTTCTTTTATGATACATTCCGTCTTATCCTGAGATGTACTAAAGCGAAGGCTAGACGTGCGAGACGGTTCGGGCTCACAGCTTTACTGTGAGCCTGTACCGTAAAGGTCGGTTCCGACACTTGCGTTTGAGTGTGTTTGTCGGCGTTGCGTTTAGAACCGAAAACGAGTCACCGGCACATCTGTGCTTCGTATGAAGCGTGGATTCCAATTCAAAGAATCATCTTGGCACGCGATATAAGCAGCAGGGATGTCCTGGTTTCTCGCAGCCGCAACGCGGTCAAACGCAACTGTTTGAACCAGGCTTTACGTGGTTGTCCTGTGCTTGTCCCTCGCGCTTTATTCTTTCGATTTTAAGCATTCATTTTCAACTCGCTCGCTTTTAACAGTACTAGTAGATACTCAGGCTGCACGAGGGTTCGTGCGGTGCGACCATCTAGCGATGCTATGAGCTTGTGCTCGAACCTTGGCTTTAATGGGCAATCAGCGGGGATATATGACACACGATGATGCCAAGTCTGTTCACGGCGGACTCTCGTGCTGTTCTGATTGGAGGAGAAGGGGCATGTAAAAAATTGGCAAATGGAACATGGTTAGCGACAGCGCAAATATATGTTGGAAAAAGTTCAGAACATTGAAGTGCAGCAGCCTGAAACTTTGGAGTTAAGCAATTAGAGAATCATTTGAAGACATCTTTAGAGGTTCAGCCTTCTCTCCCCCCACACCAATATCGAAGGCTGCTAGGATATTGGTTCAGGCTAAGCCCTCTGTCTTTCAGTCAGCGAACTCGAGCCGTTCCACCTGACCTTGTTATTTCATAACAGATATCTTAGAGAATGTAATGCAGATTTTCTTTACACGGCCAAAACATAAAGTGTTATCAAATAATACCTGCCATATTCATATTCTACATTTACAGACCGGGGCTGCCCCGCCTGTGGAGGGTGAAGATGCGAGCAGCCTCGAAGCCCACCAACAGTGGCTGTGTGCTGAGAGCCAAAGCTGGTGCCTGACGAAGGCCAGATTGATCTTCGAAAGGATGCGACTGCCTGCAAATGGCTACATGTGTTGACATTGATGAGCATATAGACTGCACAGAATGCTTATCCCTACCTGATGGATGCTAGGAGGGTATGCGTTCCATATTTTTTTACTTATCTCTACGACAATTGCTAAGTTGCGCTTCCCCGTTCCGTGATTGCGGCTGCCGGACGACCATCTTGGGACACGGAAAATTAACCTTTTGGCGCGTTGCAGAGGCTGGCCGGCAGCGTGCTGAAGACATGTTTTTTGCTCCTTTGTCGTCATTGGGAGCGTTAAAGTGGCCCTGCAATACCTTTTTGACTGGTTTTTAATTTGGACCGAACCTGAGCGCATTGAACGTAGTAATTTAAAGAAACTTTTCTTTTCTCAAATTTCGCTTTATTTTAAAAGTTATAGGCAAATTAGACTTACAGAAACAAGCAAAAAATAACATTCTTCATGACGTCGTAGGTCCTGGTTTGAGTGGCCGTGAAGTAGTGAGCTCATCGAGCGCTCACGGCTGCCGCACTCAGTGTCAACGGCTCGAGAGGGTGCCACTAAAGCACGTGTTGACTAGGCTGTATGAAGCGGGCGGCCAGGGCAGCTCGCATTGCATTTGCCGTGCGATTAAAGACTAATTCGGCATAACACTTCATTGGCCACAAACGACGCAAACACGGGGTAAAGATCAGTTCAGAACGGGAGCCACTTCGCGCTGCCATACCGCCAAAGGGTCAAATCGCCAGCCAAGCCCGCGCCGAAAGCCTTGGGAACGCGCGGAACCGGTCGGATCCTCGAGCCGGTATACGACCGCAGTGCCACCGCGTACATCCGGGACCTTTCTAAGCCCATTGTTCGTCGGAGCCTCATCCCACTACGCCTTTCTAGTATGCGCCGTTTTTTTCACCGCTTGGTGGCGGGTTTGTCGACGGGTCTTTTCTTGTTTCCGTACTTTATAAACTGCATTTGTTTCTTTTCTGATCTAAAATACTGAACAAAAACTACTTTCATACATAATTGAAACGGTTCGCGACACTCATATTTTGTATCGACTAAAAAAAATGCTTTTAGCGGCTCTGACCAGTAGTAAGCCCAGGACCAAAGACGTCACATATTCCGCGCGTTCGGCAACGCGGGTCGCCCTCGTAGGTGGAGGAGGATTCCGCGTCGTCCGGTTAAAATATGACTCACTGATATTTAGTTATTCTCTCCGTGCCCGCTGGCTTACCTGAACCCAAAGAGACGTGGAAACCGCAAAAGAGGTAGACGCTTAAGTATGATTGCAGCTCCCCTTTAAGTCCACACTCCTTTACTCCTACTCTGACGCTCCGAGTTTCATACTCCAGGCACAACAACTAAACGGCGCATGGCGTACACACCAAATCTATTGACGAGCCGCACAAGCTCCTTCCCACCGCACGGCTATGACGAACCTGGCATCCCGTGGATACGGGTGGGAGAAGCCAAAATTATTTCGGTGGTAAATTAATTAAAGCCAGTGTAGAGCGGCAGGGTACAAAGTAAAAGAGACGGCGACGTTATGAAGTTTCTACGAACGTTTAAGTATTTCTGAGAGGTTTGGAGACTCGCTTCGAGCCCGTGCGGGGAAAGGCACCTTGGCTGATCTATTTATTGACATGGCAAGCTGTTTATATTTGACCGTGCAAGCTGTTTTCAGGCGAGATGCACGAACAAACCTTTCCCGCAATGCTAACTGATGCTTCGGCTTTCCAATCTAAGTATCTTTATTCGCTGCAGCTGGACTAAGCAGTTTAAAAAGGGCAGCCGTCCCACTGTCCTCTCGGCAACTTTTCTGCCGCCGAGCTATCAGCACGCTCGTTCGATAGATCACTTTGTTCTCAGGCAAGGCACATGAACAAACCTTTTCCGGAATGCTGATTGCTGTCTTGGCTTTCAAATCAAATTGATTTTACCTGCTGGATTAACCACTAATGACTGAAAAGGAGCAGCTGTCCGGCTACGCCTTTTGTTTCAACAATCTCAACAATGGCACAGCCATCTTGTTTGTGGACGTGACATCACGGAGCGCAAAGAAGTCACTTGTGCTCCAAGAAATGCTCGGAGCACGAAGAGCACGCTCGAGTGTCAGTCTCCGGCGGCGCTCCCCTCTGTTTAGTGAAAGGAGCGCCAAACGCTCGCAATGTGTAAACAATAAGAATTTCCTTTGAAAACGCATAAAATATTTTGCAACAGCGCGGCACCGCAGGAAAAAGGCACAACTTGTCGAACGTCGAGTCTTGCCGGTCTTGCGGCGTGATCAAAGCTTCCTTGGCCTGCCAAACTGCTGCGTTTCTGTGCCTTTTCACGCTTGGATACTTATCAAAAATCAATGCCATGGCAGAGCTTTGAAGGTATGTCGCACATAGGCGTCTTCTCTATCACCCAGCTGTTCCAGCGAGTTGCTATCAATAGGAAACGAAATCGGTGGTTGCTATTATGGATTAACCATGGCTATGTTCCAAATCTACTCAAATGGATCACATGACAGCACAAATAGAGCAATGCTGTGGAAGAAGGTAGGTTTTCGAAGGCAAAAGTATGAAGCCCGTCCATATAGTTGTGTGCAATCTGTCGCCGTCGCCATAGCCTCCTACCCCTCCTTTTTCGCCACTGGATCATGCCCGCTTCTGGACTGCAAGTGCCGCAAGTTACAAATACAGTCGTAAGAGTAAAGTAAAATGCTGCTCCAGAGGCACATGCATCTTCATGCTCTTTGCACTCACGAAACAAATCCACACGGCGTTAATTCTTGATCGGTATTCAAGCGTGCGAAGACAAAGATGCAGCACTTTGGCATGCCAAGGAAGCTTTGATCATGCCGCCAGAACGGTAAGATTTGCGTTAGACGAGTTGCCCCTTTTTCTTGCGGTGCTGAGCTTTCGTAAAAATTTCCACGTGTTCTCAAACGCAATTCTCACCGTTCGGGGTTTTAACAAACTTCTTCGGTAAATGACAACGAACG